CCAGTGTGCCAGCATTATTCAAACTGTAAGATGCAATCTGTACTCACTCCTGAATTCAGTTTAGTGGACCACAGCCATCCATTTTTAAAATCGACTACAACAGAATAATATTTCAGGGTGCAAGGCCATAATGAGGGTAATATTGTTTCAGAAAACTCATGTTTCAATCCATGACTGTGCCTTGGATCATGATGCAAAATATATTTATTTCTGTGGAGCAGTACCAGTATGCATTGCCTGCCTCCACTGATAGTACTTTGCCATAAGAGACGGAAGGATGCAGAGTGTCGTCAGTAGATCACAAAGCAGAGCAGCAGGCAGCCTGGAATCTAGCTGGTGCACTGTTGCTAAGTCATAATGTGTCTTTTGTTCCTTTAAATTGTTTAAGTGATTAAAAAAATTAAGGTATTTATATACATACACATATTATACATATATTTATTTCTATTATATATTATACATAATATATACATTAATATTATATGCTTATAATATGTTTATAATATAAATGTACATATTATGTATAATATATAATATTTGTACATATATGTTTTTATACATAATATATGCATTTATATTATATATACATTATACATAATATAAATGTATAAATAGATAATATACATAATATAAATATATAAATATATAATATAAAGGTATATATTATATAGAAATAAATATATTTCGATGTAATAATATAAATACATACATGTATTTATGTATTTATACATGCATGTATTTATATCATATAAAATCACATAATATATACATTGATATTATCTATATTCAAACATTTATATATATTTATACATATATGTATATGCATAATATATATTTTATGCAGTACACATCATATACATAACATGTATTACATATAATGTGTATATACATATAATATACATATAATATGTATACATATACATGCATGTATGTAATATGTATATATGTATATGATAATGTATATAATGTATACATTATATGTATAGTATACATTTATGTATGTATACATGTGTGCATTCATAGTATATATTTATAAATATATACATATATTATATATATTTATACATTTATATATGTATTTATATGTATGTTTGTATTTATGTTTATATATAAATGCATATATTATGTATTATATAATATAAATACATGTATATATAAAATGTATTGGTACATATTTATAAAAACATTTATATATTATGTATTTATGTTATTTGTTAGACATAACATAAATACATGTATGTATATAAAATATAATATACATATATACATTACGCACACAAGAGCGAGGGATGCTGCTACTCCTCAAACATTGCACAGGGCAGCCCTCACAACAAATCATCATTTGGCCAAATATGCAAATATGTCATTAGTGTTGAGGTGGAGCCCTGATATATACATATATGTACCTATTTGAAAACATCATCTGTAAAATAAAAGATGGAATTTTTTGAAGTTGTTTTGAATGTTTGACATGACATAGCCCCAACTGGAATCATAAATATTTTTTCGAATCTTAATTCTATTAGGTAGCTTAAATTCAAACATTGATTTCTGACTAAAATCAACCATTTATCAAGAATGTGAGTATGGGCAAGTTCTTTAAATTTTCTGAGCCTCATTTTCCTCTTGTGTAAAGTCTGGATAATCATACTGGCCTGTTGAGGATTATCATGAGAAACATAAAAAACATACATAAACATAAAAAACAAATAGAAACTTTTTTGTATAATTTATTCATTTTAAGAAGTGAGTAAAAAAATTTCCAGTTTAAGATTTCTTATGTACGACATTATAATTTTCAAGAGTTCTGTATACATTGCATCCTTAGTGACTCCACATGGCAGGGGCCAGTCTTTCACTTGGGAAACTGAAATTGGTGTAATGCCTGTTCTGGTCCCATTGTGAGAAAGTAGCATGGGTGAAATTTGAACCCAGATCATTGGGCTCCAAGGGCTTGAATATGAATTTGATTAAAAGAAAAACTGCTGTGGGTCTTGGCCCAGCACTATTTCAACCAAGCCAAAATGCCTGCCATATAATCAAAATAATTGAATTGAATTTAAAAATATCCACCTTTTCAATAGCATCAGGAACAAAAGTCTACAATATCCTTTAAACAACAATTACTAATCTTAAGGCCACGTCCTCTTTGTTGCATTTCTTTATTTAGGAATTCGTTCTGTGAAACTCTTCTTTGAAACCTTTGGTTGAAAAGGAACAATAGTCACTGAAATTGCAGCACATCTGTCTTAGAGTTACTGACTTTACATTTTGTCTTCTTTTATGTTTTAAAGCTTTCTACTTCTGGATAGTGTGATGAAGTTGAAAAAACATCATTCTCAGGTAATTATGTACCTCACAGTAAAAGGACATCCTTTACATCATCCCAGAAACATAGGCACTTCTATCTTATTCATCCTAGATGAAATTTCTGGTTTTTCTGTAATCTTAAAATGAAATTATAAAAATGCAGGAAAGATTTCGTTTTCTTCATTTTTTCAGTAGTTTTGCAGTCCGCGGTTTCTATGCTGTTTAGCAACGTGAAGTTTAAAATAGAAAATAGAGCAGGGTACATGAAATCCCCCACCACATGCAATGTAACTATGTAACAAACCTGCACATGTATACGTGAGCATAAAATAAAAGTTTTTAAAAAAGAAAACAGCACATGGATATAAAAACACATTGACAGTGCTACTATAAAAAAGAACAGTGTCAATTTTATTAATTAACAGAAGTAAATTAATATGGGTGTCCTTCATATTCAAATCTATTTGGAAATTTTTCTCTAACAGAGAAACTTTTAGAAAATTCAGTATAAACCAGCTTTCAAATTAACTGACATATTTAAATTTTTCACAGACTTCACACTCTCCTCCATTATAACTGTCTATGCAAAACCCTCTCAGAAAGTTGTATATTGCTCATCATTTTTTATGTCTGTGTATTGAAGGGACAGCTACCTGCCTACTTGAAAATTGTATGCTGACAAAAGAAAAGTCTGCTCTTTTTAATTTTATCTTACTATCACTGTGGTCCCATGTGGAAAAGCAGGCTGCTAAATACTTTTTGAAGGCTGGTGAACATGTTAGACTTGCCTACAAAGCTAATTAAAACTGATGGATGCCGTAGATTACATGTTACTACTGGATCTAAATAAAATATCCAGTTTCATCATTAATGCCATGTCCCTCATCTAATCTGTATAGAAGTTACAACATTGTTATATATTACCTTTGGCTACAGACACATCAGCCTTCTGAGTAAACTGTCTCCTTTTTCAGCATGACTTTCAGTTATTTCTGTATTCAAATGGCCTCCTAGCTCTGGGTTTTGCAGTTGTTTGTAACACTTGTGAAAACCTACATGAAAAGATGACACAATCAGAAATAAGGTAAAGACAGTGGTATAAGTATTCACTGACCTCACTTAGTTAATAATATGATGCACCCAGTCTGCTGCCTCTGGTCCGTAGCAAACAGCACATTGGACATTTACACTAATACAGACATTGTAAAAAGAAGAGCAGTGCTCTTGAATATATAACCATACCTACTCTGCCCATGTGTTTATGTGAGAAAGATGTTATTCTGAAGTTGCTTATCTGCATGGTAGGGATATTTCAAAAGGCTTTCTCAAGAATGAAGTAAAAGGTACAGTAATGACCCTTACAACTCCAAAGATATGATTCTAATTCTTGAGACTATTATTAAAGCAAAATCTGTACACCTTCATCGTATAAGATTATCAGTAGTTTTCTTTTTAAAAAGCCCTGCATAATCTCCTTAGAAAACCATTATGAAAGAAAGCCAAGAAGAGAGGACAGAAGAAGCACAAAACATTCCCAAGGGAAGGATGAGAGTAAGGCGGTTGTCAGTGCTGTGAGAACGAGTTTAAAGATACGGGGAATATGAAAATAGACAAATCCCAATGCAGATTCACTAGCTGAAGAGTAAATTTGGGGTCTAATTTTGCAATCCTCTTTTCGCATCCCCGTGTGCTCTCTGCCACGAAGCTTTTAGATATTCCGAAGGATTCGGCGTTTTACAGACTCTAGTGGACGTGAAAAGGATAGGGGGTGGTGACAACTTTAATTAATGACGTTCTCCTACAGGAACGCGGGGAAAATGTCTTAGCGTCATCAAATGAATTCCCTACTCCTGGCATAAATTTATAAAACTGCAACTTTATCTCGAATACTCTGGAAGAGGAGATGAGAGGCCCTACAGAAACCAAGTCTTAAGAGGAACCGCAATGCTCTTGGCAAAAATGGCACGTTTCTGTTGAACTACATTGACTTTTTCACAGAGCGCCTTTCCTTAATAGAATCACAACCACCTGGACTACTAATAAGAGGAAGAAGAAACGAGAAAAGGGGAGGAGGATGGCAAAAATAACGCTCTGGAAGATCCAGGCAACTTCGTCCTGAAGAATAAAGGGAATCAAAATGGGCACTGGAACTCTGCTAAGGGCTTGCTTTGGTTAACACACTTGCAGAACTGCAGTTCCGCTCTAGATTATGTTGAGAATCCTTGTTTACCATCCTCCTAGGAGGTTCTTCAACATATGCCTGCGAACTCCGAAAGATTGGGCGCTTACTAGTTAAGGGAGGCAGCTGTCCCGGAGGGTGTCCAGCTCGGACGGCTGACGGCTCTTTCACTTGTCGTTAACTTCCACCCAGTGGTCTCAGTCTCCCCTTGGACAGGGTACGGACCGAGTGCCATTCTTATTTCACTTGACCGAGCCCGATCTGCAGCCCAGGGTAGAAGCCGCAAGGGCTGGGCAGACTTCCAGGCAAGAGGGGCCGAGAGGGGTGAGCAGTGCTCAGCAGCGCTTGTCAAAGAAATGGAGCAGCGGTTCCTTTGTGGGCTCTAACGTCCCAGTCCTGGGTGCCCAGCCCGGATATTTGATGTGAGGGATGATTGATCAGTGAGGGAGAGGGGCCGCGATCCCTCCCTCCCTGCCTCCCTCCCTTATTCCCGTCTCCTCCCTCCCGCCTGACTTCCCTCCTCCCTGTCGCCTCCCCTCCTCCTTCTTGCGAGAAACGTTGCCAGTTGGCTAGCAGCTCCGGTGGGGATCTGCTTGCCCTGGGGGCGCCGCCCGCGCTCCCCGCGGTCCTCTCGCTCCCGGGCTGCGCTAGTCGGAAGCAGTGCCGGCTCCAGTGCCTCTCCGAGTCGCAGATGCTGCGGGTTCCTCCGGGGGACTATCTGGGCACCGCGCTCGCCGGGTAAGTTCGGAGCGCTCAGGGACGCGGTGGCGACGCGGCCAAGGAGCCGGCTTTCTCCTCAGTCCGTTGCCTTCCCGACCACCTCTCCTTGCGAGGGAGACAGCTTCGCGAGGCTGCTCGCCATCCGCGTGAGGCAGCTTGCTGGCGGCCGCCCTCTACCCTCAATCCCCACTAGGGATTCCTCACCCCCGGACCATCCGCGCGGGCGTGGTCGGGCACCGCTCGTCGCGTAGCCTGGTGGCACAGGCGGCCAGGGAGGCCCCACACACCCGGCGTGAGCTAGAAGCCTCCAGTCGGCCTGCACTGTCCAAGCCCCAAGGCGAAGGCACCCCGAGTGCCCGTCGCGGCTGTGGAGCCGCATGCCGGACACCGCACCAGACGTCTTGCAGGTAGGGGCAGGGAAGGTACGGCGGCGCTGACGGCGGTGCCCGGTGACTGGCGATCGAGGACTCTCGGAGACTCCTGGTATTCGGGAAGCGCCCTTCGGAAACAGGATTCGACCCGGCTTTCGGGCGGTGAGTGTTTAGAGTAGGAGGCTGCGGGCAAGCCGTGCCCCCACTCAGGGCTCCTGGACTCTGCTAAGCCTCCTCGTGGCCTGATGGACTGCGGGTAGAGAGGTGAGCTGAAAGCCGGCCGGCACCCACTTTGTCCTATGGAAGCCTTGGCGACCTGAGCCAGGCTTTACTCGGATACATAGCCGACGGAGTTCTTGAAGCCTCCCTCTCCTCAGCAAACACGAGAGAGCGTTTTTCTGATTTTAATGATCGCCGTTGCCTCTCTTGGGGTTCCAGTTCACCCCAACCTTTGGCCTTAAAAGCCCGCTTTCCTTAGCGGGGTACTGCGGCAGTTCTTCAGAATGAACTGGACCAAATGAAACTTACTTAAAGTGGTTATCCCGTTTCAGGCTGATTTGTTCCTAGTAACTCTGTTTTGGAAAGCGGCTGCGAACTCTCAGGGACAGGAAGGAAGGAGACCCCCTCAGGGTCCCGGTGTCGATCCCCACAGTTAGATTACCAATGAATTTCCTTGATTCGGTAGGTCTCAAGAATTTCAAGAGCCCCCAACCGCCTCCACCTTTATCTCTGAATCTCTCTCCTTTCTCTGAAATTTTTAGCAAAAATAATCTGTCCTCAAGGAATGTTGAAAGCGTCATCAATGTCTTGAAAGAAATTACTGTATGTGAGAACTAAAACTAGTATTTGTTGTTTAACTTTCCAATACATTTTTTAAAATAGAAAGCATACCTTTAACTAAAACACCACCCCCCACTATTTAAGTTTAAGTAGATGTTTAATTCATAGTAAGCAGTAGTGTGCTTTCTGGAAAGACGATGGACTGGGACTCATAATCCCTGGGTTTTATTTCTAATTGTAGTTTCTGGAGTAAGTCAGCACTTTCCCTGGTTGAGAAATGACTTCATCTGTAAAATGAACCTGACTTCTAGGGTCTTCTTCAGCTCTCACACTGGCTTTTACTTTAGTTAGTTATTAACATAATAAATGTTTATTGAATGAATGACTGAATGAATCAATCTTGTTGCTCTAGGAACTATGTGCTTTTAATATTTGGAAATCCGTAGAAACAAATGCCTCCTTTGCTAGGAAAGGTAGTTTAATTCTGCTCCCACTGCATCAGACTGCTTCCATCTAATGATGCAATTGCAATCCAGAGTGGGAGGCCATCCGCAGGGCTATCCCTCCGCTTTAGAACTCATCTCAAGTTTGCCATATGGTATAGACAAGGAAAATTTGAGTCCCCAGAAGGCAAGTATTTTGCTAAAGGCCAAACAAGATTTAGAGGGTAAGGGAACTGCTGATGCCTGGTCCAAAGCTTTTCTTGGAAGAAGAAGGAAGAGAAAGGGAGAAAGCCCAAGAAAATAATGCACAATGCACGGTAGATCACGGAGCTACAGGTTGCCGTAGTGCCTAAGTTTATAAACTACCCCGGCTCTTCCTGAAGAGGAAGAAGCTTGTATAAAGTGAACAATCCTAGGACCTAGGCTTGACAAGGAAGGAGAAGGGGAGGATCAGGGGGCAGGGGGCGTTCTGTTCTCAAGTGGTTTGTTATATCTGTGTGTTTGTCTATTTCACATTTGGCCAAGAAGTGGGAACCTGGGAAAGCAAGCTGAAGTGTTTGGTGGGCACAAACACAGGCACATCATTGACACAATTCTTTTTCCCAGGTTATTTCATTCCCTGCTTTTCCGGATCCATTTCCCTCTTCCTGCCAGAGGCAACTCAAGGCCTTTCGAGGCAACAGCAGACATGATTTACCCCTTGTCAATTGCCTCCACAATGAAAGACTCTTGGGTCCAAGGAACTGTAAGATAGTTAAGGAGAAAACAGATAATGAAGGGAAAAATCCAACACTTAGCTGTTAGCAATGCTCTGAAAACGTTATTTCAACCCGATTTGGATGTCAGAGCTGGGAGGGCCCACATAGTCTCCCTACCCCCCTTTTGCAGATGGAGACAGGAAGATCCAGGAGCCAGTGACACATCTAGCAACAGAGCCAGATGAGAACCCAGGTAAGCTGGGTCTCAGACCAGGACTCCTGCCACGTCTCCTCTCTTCCTCAGGAGCCAGTCTTTCTGTACCAGTTCCCTCTTTTCTCCTGGCTCCCCTGCCCCTGCAGCCTGTAGGGCTCAACCACCCTTCCCTTGGCTCCCACTCCCAGCTGAGGCTCAGCCTGGCAGTGCTTTTCTGACACCCACTTCTTTTCTCCTTTCTCCAGGCAAGAAGCGCACGTTTAAACCTCATTATCTGGCTAAGTATAAACCTCAGGGAGAAATCGGTTTTGTTTTTGTTTTTCTGTCTGTAAGCTAACGTTGAGCTGACTTTCAGAGTCCAGGCAAATATCTGTTTGGTGGGTCACCGCCCAGAAAGGAATTCTCCTAAGCACTGAATCAAGGCTCTGTATGTAAAGCATAAATCCCCTAAGAGAACTCCTCGCCCTCCTACACAGACACACTGGTGCATGCACATACACCCCACTCTCTGCACAGAGAGCATCTGAGCTAGGAGCTGGCAAGTGGGGCATCAGTCCTGTAGCAAAGAGGCATACCACATGCGGGCGGGCGCGCGCGCGCACACACACACACACACACAGACACACACACACACAGACACACACTCTTACACGGTTCTCCCTTGCTTGGGAATCTGGGGTAAGAACCCCGCGCCCCCACCCCTGCCCTCCATAGGTATTGTGTAGGTGAGAGAAAGAGGGAGGAGTCAAAGAGAACACAGAGAGGGGCGGGAGGAGGTGCTAGCCTAAGAGCAGGGTCCTTCCTTGAGAAACACCTCTGCAGGAGCGTCTCCTGCCACCAGCCAGGTTGGAGGTGGAGTAGTTCAGAATCAACTGACGCAGCCAGGAATTGAGCTTTGCAAAACCACTTGCAAGGAAGGGAAGCATCTGCCCAACCCTCCCCCACCGCGCGCCCTGGATCCTCTGCCTGCCCCCTCCCCTGTGACGTCACCCTAGTCCTGTCCCAGCGAGCCTGCAAAGCCTCTCAAATTCAAACTGCTAGACGCACTGCTGCCGCCGCCACCGGATTGGAAACGCGCGCCCAGGCTCCGCCGTCGCCTTCGCCCGGCGACCGGGCCAGCCGGCTCTGCGACCTCCCTACAGAATTGCACCCCAGGCCCTCCCTGACAGTTCGGCTTCCCTCTGCTCCAACTCCCTCCGCTCCAACTCTCCTCTTCCGTTCCTGCCTCCTGTCGGATTTTTAATTTCTGCACACCCCCAGTCAAATTAAATCAACCAACAAAAAGCAGAACATCCCCCCTGGAAGCAGCGTCTTATTGTACCTTGTTCTCCCTCTTCCTGAAGATGCTAAACTCCTGGTGGACTGCAGAGGAGCGGGGCTCTGTCTTCTCCTGATGTGTGAGTACCCCCCACCCCGCACTGTGTTTGCCATCTCTATCCTCCCTCTATCCCTGCCGCCAGCCCCCTTATTCCTGATTTTCCCACCCCTTTTTGCCTTTTTTTTTTTTTTTTTTTTTTTTTTTTTTTAAATAAAGCGATTGCGATTTCTGCTGGAAGCCCAAGACGGGCGAGCCGCCTGAGATCTCTTCGAGATACCCAAGGGGAGGAGGAGATGGGCAGGATTTAGTAGGACAACTCGGTTACTAATGACTTGGCGGCTGGCTGCGACCCCCCGGGAAATCAGGTGCAAGCATGTGTGTTCCCGGGGCGCGTGTGTGGGTGGCCTCAGGGTGGGGGAATAGGGAGCGGAGAAAAGAAACTGCTTTGAAAAATGCAATGATTTCATTCTGCCGTGTTGCCAACCCCCTCATTCTCCCTCGCTCCCACTCCGCCTCCTTGCTTTACCATTTTTAATCGGGCTTCCTTGTTTCTTTCTTCCCTGCACCCACTTCTTCCCCTTGCCCCCTACCTAAGGTTTGCCTGTAGGTACCTGAGTTGACACCGAAGGTGCCTAAAGATGCTGAGCGGCGTTTGGTTCCTCAGTGTGTTAACCGTGGCCGGGATCTTACAGACGGAGAGTCGCAAAACTGCCAAAGACATTTGCAAGATCCGCTGTCTGTGCGAAGAGAAGGAAAACGTACTGAATATTAACTGTGAAAACAAAGGATTTACAACAGTTAGCCTGCTCCAGCCCCCCCAGTATAGAATCTATCAGCTTTTTCTCAATGGAAACCTCTTGACAAGACTGTATCCAAACGAATTTGTCAATTACTCCAACGCAGTGACTCTTCACCTAGGTAACAACGGGTTACAGGAGATCCGAACGGGGGCATTCAGTGGCCTGAAAACCCTCAAGAGACTGCATCTTAACAACAACAAGCTCGAGATATTGAGGGAGGACACTTTCCTGGGCCTGGAGAGCCTGGAGTATCTCCAGGCCGACTACAATTACATCAGTGCCATCGAGGCTGGGGCATTCAGCAAACTTAACAAGCTCAAAGTGCTCATCCTGAATGACAACCTTCTGCTTTCACTGCCCAGCAATGTGTTCCGTTTTGTCCTGCTGACCCACTTAGACCTCAGGGGGAATAGGCTAAAAGTAATGCCTTTTGCTGGCGTCCTTGAACATATTGGAGGGATCATGGAGATTCAGCTGGAGGAAAACCCCTGGAATTGCACCTGTGACTTACTTCCTCTCAAGGCTTGGCTAGACACCATAACTGTGTTTGTGGGGGAGATCGTCTGCGAAACGCCCTTTAGGTTGCATGGGAAAGATGTGACCCAGCTGACCAGGCAAGACCTCTGTCCCAGAAAAAGTGCCAGTGATTCCAGTCAGAGGGGCAGCCATGCCGACACACACGTCCAAAGGCTGTCACCTACAATGAATCCTGCCCTCAGCCCAACCAGGGCTCCCAAAGCCAGCCGGCCACCCAAAATGCGAAATCGTCCAACTCCCCGGGTGACTGTGTCAAAGGACAGGCAAAGTTTCGGACCCATTATGGTGTACCAGACCAAGCCTCCTGTGCCTCTCACATGTCCCAGCAGCTGTGTCTGCACTTCTCAGAGCTCAGACAATGGTCTGAATGTAAACTGCCAAGAAAGGAAGTTCACTAATATCTCTGACCTGCAGCCCAAACCTACCAGTCCAAAGAAACTTTACCTAACAGGGAACTATCTTCAAACTGTCTATAAGAATGACCTCTTAGAATACGGTTCTTTGGACTTACTGCATTTAGGAAACAACCGGATTGCAGTCATTCAGGAAGGTGCCTTTACAAACCTGACCAGTTTACGCAGACTTTATCTGAATGGCAATTACCTTGAAGTGCTGTATCCTTCTATGTTTGATGGACTGCAGAGCTTGCAATATCTCTATTTAGAGTATAATGTCATTAAGGAAATTAAGCCTCTGACATTTGATGCTTTGATTAACCTACAGCTACTGTTTCTGAATAACAACCTTCTTCGGTCCTTACCTGATAACATCTTTGGGGGTACGGCCCTCACCAGGCTGAATCTGAGAAACAACCATTTTTCTCACCTGCCTGTGAAAGGGGTCTTAGATCAACTGCCGGCTTTCATCCAGATAGATCTGCAAGAGAACCCATGGGACTGTACCTGTGACATCATGGGGTTAAAAGACTGGACAGAACATGCCAATTCTCCTGTCATCATCAATGAGGTGACTTGTGAATCTCCTGCTAAGCATGCAGGGGAGATACTAAAATTTCTGGGGAGGGAGGCTATCTGTCCGGAGAGTCCAAACTTGTCAGATGGGACCATTTTGTCAATGAATCACAATACAGACACACCTCGCTCACTTAGTGTGTCTCCTAGTTCCTATCCTGAACTACACACCGAAGTCCCACTTTCTGTCTTAATTTTGGGATTGCTTGTTGTTTTCATCTTATCTGTCTGTTTTGGGGCTGGCTTATTCGTCTTTGTCTTGAAACGTCGAAAGGGAGTGCCAAGTGTTCCCAGGAATACCAACAACTTAGACGCAAGTTCCTTTCAATTACAGTATGGGTCTTACAACACTGAGACTCACGATAAAACAGACGGCCATGTCTACAACTATATCACCCCACCTGTGGGTCAGATGTGCCAAAACCCCATCTACATGCAGAAGGAAGGAGACCCAGTAGCTTATTACCGAAACCTGCAAGAGTTCAGCTATAGCAACCTGGAGGAGAAAAAAGAAGAGCCAGCCACATCTGCTTACACAATAAGTGCCACTGAGCTGCTAGAAAAGCAGGCCACACCAAGAGAGCCTGAGCTGCTGTATCAAAATATTGCTGAGCGAGTCAAGGAACTCCCCAGCGCAGGCCTAGTCCACTATAACTTTTGTACCTTACCTAAACGGCAGTTTGCCCCTTCCTATGAATCTCGACGCCAAAACCAAGACAGAATCAATAAAACCGTTTTATATGGAACTCCCAGGAAATGCTTTGTGGGGCAGTCAAAACCCAACCACCCTTTACTGCAAGCTAAGCCGCAGTCAGAACCGGACTACCTCGAAGTTCTGGAGAAACAAACTGCAATCAGTCAGCTGTGAAGGGAAATCATTTCCAACCCTAAGGCATCACAGGATGCTACTCCAAACTGCTGGAAACAAGGACATTAGCTTTTGTGTTTGTTTGTGTTCTCCCTTTCCCAGTGTAAATGGGGGACTTTGAAGATGTTTGGGAGATGGGGTGAAGTAATGATATTGCTTTTGCAAGTTTTCCTTTAAATTATTTCTCTCTCGTTCTCCTCCCCTCCTTTTTTTTCCCCCTTCTCTTCTTAGGAACGATCAGTGGACCTGAATGTTTCTGTAATGCATTTATTCATATATTTTGTTTATGGTTTTGTTTCTTTTTTCTTCTTTGTTTTTCAGTGTGGGAGTGGGAAGAGGAGATTATAGTGACTGAAGAAAGAATAGGCAAACTTTGCAAATGAAAATGGTTATTTAGTGTATTTTGTAGAAGATCTCCAAAGATCTTTTGTGACTACAACTTCTTTTGTAAATAATGATATACGGCATTTCCATCTTCAGTTACCAAGTATAGCCACTGGGCCTCACTACTTTGTGTTAAAGTGCCTTCGCACTTTAAGTACATTACTTAAATGTTGCTTTTAGCTTTGATAAATTGAAACTATTTTAATGTGTTGTATTTTTGAAATTGAAAACACTGTAAAATAGATCGACGTGTCAGCTATATTAAGTCAACGTGCAGTTTGCTTGAGTTATAGAAACCAGCCTGTCAACAAATGATTCTAGTTCTAGGACTTTGTAGGCTTAACTTTACGATATTTCCTTTCCTCTGGGTTTGTTTTAAGTGATTTTATTTAAGTCAACTAAGGGGATTTAACAGTGGACTAGAGGTAATAAACCACCTCAGTCAGGATTAATAATTCATTAATAAAATATATTTAACCCAATATCAGAGTGAATTGAGCAATTAATGCCCTTCCGTAAATCATTATTTTACACTAACATGGTGAGTGTTTTAGATTATTTTCCTAATTAAAATGACATGACATAGCTAGTAGTATATTTTTCTGCATTGATTAGATACTTTTATATATTTAAATGAAAAAGTCTGTATTTCTAACTTTTTAATTGAAATTAATATTTTTTCTGCCTATTGAAACATTTTCTATAAACACACACCAGTAGAGGCCGCCACACACCTCATTTAACAAAGACATATGAGCCATTAAATACCTTGAAGGAAGACTTCATGGGTGAGATTGAATCTTCCCATGTTAAGTTCTCTGCAAAATTTAAGGTAGCAGAGATAAAAACATATACATTACTTTCTATTTATTTTAGATCACAGATTAGACTCATAATCCTCAATTTAACGTTTTCTGACAAGACAGCATTTTCCTCTTGAGTTTAATTGGAGCATGAATGGGGTGCTATCAAATCACGTACTATTTGCGTCTCCAAAGCGATTAATAGTTATCTAAACCAAGACAGGAAGCATCTTTTTTCTTCTGCCTTCTTTAGGCATGTGTAACTTGGAGTTTTCCTTGTCAGCTTGAGCAAGATTTTCGTTTTGGTTTTAGCATTAAAATGATTTTAATTAGCCAAGTCTATATAACATTTATGAAGCCTTATTAGACTGTAAATAATTTTTAGATGCAAACATTATTGTGTGATTTAAACAAACAGCCCTTCTTTACAACAAAAAATAGTTTTGTTTTGTCTATTGTAAATCCTTATGCAACTGGGATGGTGATCTGCATATAAAGTAGTTCAGCTTTTCAATTCCTTATTAAAGCAAGTGATGGTGTCTGAAAGAAGCACACTGTTTCCTTTTCATAAATAGGTTACTGCACATAATAATCCTTTATCATCACGTGGAGGTTGAAGTGGATCCTGATAACTTACTTTTAAAGCTTTAAAATAGTATATTGTCGGTCACTATAAACAATTCATGTGATAGGCTTTCAATTTGAAATTTCTAAAATCCAAATTATTTGGATTAATAATTACTGGCACAAAATACTTGTTTATAAAAACAATAGAAGGTAATTGTGTATATATAATCATGTAAAGGGCATTCAGGAAGAAAATACCTTTAACAACATAAAATCTCTGAATATCTACAGTGGCAAGCTAACATGTTCATTCTTTTATAACAAGTGATAATTCCTATTTTGATCCATTTGAAGAAAGTTGAAAATGGTGGGCTGAAATGATCTACGAGAAAGTTAATGTACAGATATTTTACATTTCACAGAAGCGAAGCTAGAATATTCTGCTAGTTGAATTTGGAGATGACTCCGGGAAACCATTTCATCTTTCAGTGAAGTATTTATATATAAAAGAGTTTTAAAAACCCTTTTCTGACTGCTCTCATTTGATGCAATGATACATACAAAATACAGAGGTAGGTATTTTGGGAAGTGATTATGAAGGCAAATTTGCGTATATGTTCTGTTAAGATCTTCTGAGCCTTAAATTATTTGACTAGAGCTCTTGATGCAGTGATTCCACTTAAGTGTTTATTTTTATGTTTCTGAAACTAAAGCCATTCCTATAAAATGCCATTGTCCATAGGGAAAAAAAAATAACTCATTAAGCTTAAAGAGAGATGATACCTTCATATTAATTTACTTACAAGATTTTAAAGACATCTCCTGGAAGAACTAAAATTTATAAACTCTTTTGCCTAATAAGTATGGTTTAAATCTATATCCTCTTGCTTATTAGATTTATATTTTATTTGCAGTAGATTTTTAAATGTAATTCTCTGAATGTAGTCCAGACTATTTTATTTAAAAGCATCATACACCATACCCTTCGAACATTTATTTTCTAATGCAACCATAAACACTTTAATTTTCATGAACTCACTAGCATTCCCACTGACTATATTCTGTTTTGCTTTATCTGCTCGAGCACTTTCCACCATATTTTATTTTAGGATTTTTATTTTTATCATCCACAGCTGGATATTGCTATTTCACTTTTATTTCACATGCAGCTTTAAGAGGTCTGAGCATCAGCAAAGCAAAATGGTTCCAGCCTACAAAATGTGGTCTCCCAGGGCCCTGCCAGGAACAGATCTGTATGTCTGGCCCTACACATGAAAAATGGTAACTCCCTTCTATTTTAGCTCTTAATTAGTTCTGTTCACTATTTCCGAATTTACCTGCGGCTAAGTTTTTATTGAAACACTCAAAAGTACGACTTCTCAGTCTGAACACAATTGCTAAGAGCCTATTTTGGCTCTGAACTTTGGTCTACCTGTGTGCCTTGTTAGTTCTCTCCAGCAGCTGGTGAGTAAGGAAATGACCCTTCAATTTCCTCTTCTCTTTCCTCTGACCTCTAATGTGACTTAATTTTTCTTAATGTCTGCAAGTCATCTAGGGCTTAATACTTTATGAATTTTACAAAAAGCATTTAAGGAATAAGAGACAGGTTCTCTGATTTTTCAGACTCTGAAAATTTATTTTGATTGTACATATTCCATAAATATACTGGATTGAATGCTAGAGTGAAGAAAGCCTTCCAGACAATTCTCCCAGTCCATTCATTTCTTCATTCATTTGTTCATTCAGTAGTTATTGAGTGTTTATTTCCTGGGTGCCTGGCTCTAGGCTATGTGCTGAGGCACAGTAGGCAGAATCTCTACCCTCCTCACCACACCCTCTTCACTCTCCACCCCACCCCCTACTACTCACCCTCACTCTGGAAAGGAGCTTAGTGCTAATAATGGAGAATCTTATCTGAATAGCAATCACCCAGTTTAAACAGTGGAGACACTAATGCAATGCAGGAAGTTACGTTTTTTTAAAGGTGATTCCGTGCGGTAAGGTATAAAAGTGATACATAATAAATAGTCTAGCTATAGTCTAACATCTCTTCAGAATTACACAGTAAAAAAGGAAAAAAAAAAAACACACCAAAATAAGATAAAATAAAATAAATTTCTGCAAAATAAGGCCCAATATCATGGCCTAAAGAAAGCTATATACTTGTGCTATCTAAAGCGCTACTTTGTAAAGATGACTATCAAGCTTATAAATACAAAATTTTTAAATGTACTTAAATTTTCTGGAAGAATATCCATGTTTCAGAGGGAATATTTACTTTCTATTTCAGTGGCTTGAAATAGAACATTTTGGCTTAAGCGTCTTTTATCAGTACTTTGATAAGACAACTTAATCTTGAGAGAGAAAAAATTAAGTACTGTATATAGGTGTAATTTGTTTCTCACAATGATTGTGCAAAAAGTCATGTGTAAATAGAACTTTTGTAAATCAAATTGTATTTTAAATGCATTAGAGGAGCTTCCATTTAGAGGAAACTTGTGAATTCTTTCATAAAGCGTAAAACCGTTTTATAATACAAATAACCACTCTCTAATTTATCTGTTTTGTATTTTTGGATTTTCAATATCAACTTTGCTTAAAACAGAGCCCACCTTCATAGTAACTGTGTTTTGCCAAGGCTGCTCGGGCTACCAGTTTCTTGGTAGCTAAGGGCTTGTGTTTGAAAGTCTGCTGAAGTTTGATGTGAATTAGGCTATCAAGCAATGCTATGATAGCACAGTTGCCGTCCTGAAGAGTCCAAGTAGCCAACCCTTTTCAATACGATTGAACGCAGGACTCCTCTGCTCAGCAGTATCTCTTTTCTCAGATATGGCCATATTACAGTAGCGTGTAGAATGACTCCTTTATTCATATTCCAGGAAATGCTTAGAGTCACAGGTTTTATAATAAAGTATGTTATTATGTAAACATATTGAATTGCACGTATGTTGAACCTTTTCAGCAGTACTTTAGCTTGAAAGTACTTGTACAAATACTGTTAGATTTAGTTGCAAATAATTGTTCTCAAGTTATTGGAATAAATGTCAAATGAAACAAGCTCTTGTGTAAATAGACTTCTGTGCCTAATAGTGACATTGTTTCAAAAAATAAATGTCATAGTTTGGGCTGTTATGAGACAAAATGAAACATTGGAAATATGATCAAATGATCTTGGATTTTATTGGATAAATTGTTTACATAGTTACTTTATGTGTAATTAGCTTTCAGTTAATAAATAAGTGTTCACTAACAATGAACATTTAAATTAGTTAGAAACGATAACTAGAATCTATAAAGAGGAATGAATGACAAAATATCATTGGGACAGTTTTCTTTGTCTTGATATGCTTACAGATAAAGGCTTTGATTCTTTATATGATTAGTTTACACGTTTCAGGTAAAATGAGCTTTAGAAAAACATATCTTAATACTTTTCCATGACTGTCCATTAGTATTGGACTTAAAAAAATTACCAGTAAACAACAACAAAAGCAATTCAAATAGAGATTCCTCTCTAAGTACTGATTAGGTCTGCTGATTGCTCACTCTCCTCACCAGACACAGACATACATCTACAACAAATCCAATTGTTTTCTTATTATAAATTTTAGTCTAATACCATATGTGACCTAATATATTTGTATTTAATAAAATGAGAGACTGACATACAAATCCAAGGAATAGAAATTATGAGTTCATTAATAGAAATTCCATCACTATATTTCTAAACAGTAGAGTTAGAAAAAATGAGAAAGAAAGGGAGGGGGTTTATTTGTTACTGTGATTATGGTAATATAATGGCAAACTGACTTCTTTGGCCATTTACATTTAGTTGAACATTAAAGTGTATCTGCCAGGCATGCTCCGAATCACAAACACATAATGTAACAAAGGATTTGAGATTCCTGTGGGGACATGAGGGCTTAAAAAAAATTATCCTCTCTTAGGATTACCAATATACGCACAATATATTTAGTTTATTCATGTAGCAGTCATAAGATAGCTGAAACAATTGGAATAGCCACATTCTAAAGTGTTTTGCTAAAGGAGAATTGGTGCTAGTATACCAGATTACTAGATCCCTTGACAAGATCATTTGAAATGGGAATAAA